AGATGATCGAATAAATGAGTAAGGTTTGAGTCACTTTGCCAGTATTTTCTTCAATGGAGTGATCCTCAGGATATAGGAATTCCAGACGGAATAGCTTTTAAGGTTTCCACCCAAAGACAGGCCCTAAAGATTAGTTGGGAAAGGTCAATTGTAGAGGCTTACCCACTCTGGGGACTTACACAGGGGGCAGGCTTCCCCACAAAGATTTCATCATAGAACCAATATTTGGACACTTGCCACAGAGTGGGCACTGTACAACCCTCCCAGACATGAGGGGGAAAAAGTCCCACTATCTTAGATCCTCTCATTTCCTTTCCTGCTTTTCCCTGGATTTTGAGTGCACCTACAAACGGAAACAGAGAATGGATGGGAGAGCCGTAGAGCAAGTTATACCCCTCCCACTCTAGGTCCCTAGTGCCTAACACTGGATGGCACTGGGGCAGAAAAGATGTGTCTACTACACTGAACATTATTTTGAAGTTTAAATCTGAATTAGAATAGGCTTTTGAGTGGGCTTTTGCTGATTGATTGATTTTTTATTGTCATTTGGGTAAAAAGGAACCTTGGTGGTAGCTGCCATCCACAGGTCAGCAGTTCAAAACCACCAGTCACTCCATGGGAGAAAGGTGAGACTTTCTACTCCTGCAAAGATTTACAGTCTTGGACCCCACCATGGCCACTTCTCTACTGTCCCATAGGGTCTCTGTGAGTTGGAATTGACCTGCTGGCAGTGAAGCTTGGAGGAAAGTTTACAAAGCAAATTCATTTGTCATTCAACAGTTTATGCATACTTTTTTTGTACGTTGGTTGCAATCCCCACAATGCAGCAGCACTTTCTACCCCCTCCTTGTTTTCATAATTTCTATTTTCCTTCCTTTCCTATTCCTTCCTGCATTCTGAGCCTAGTATTTGGACAAATGCTGCCCTTTTAATTGTTCTAAGAGGTGTACTAGGGATTATACCCCCCCCCCAAAAAAAATTGGAAAAAGCTCAGCTGGGTGGGGCTTTGGTAGTATGCATTTTTCCTGCTAGGTGAGCATTGAGCAACTTACTCTGAGTTAGTGCACTCAGTGGCATTGCCTGGGAAGGTTCTCTCAGGTCACAGTGAATTTTTTCATAAAACTGTTTAGTTTGAGCCTCATTTTTTTGTGATGACCAATTTAAGAGAACAGCATGCTGCTGTGAGATTTTGTTTTCTGCTCAGGAAAAATGCTGCAGAAACTATTGTGATATTGAACACAGCTTACAAGAGCAGTGCTATGGAAAAAAAGGACACTCAAGTGTGCGAGTGGTTTTCTCATTTCAAAAACAGGGAAAAATTGATTGATGACAAACCTCATTTTGGATGTCTGTCAACTTCCCACACAGACAATGTTGATAAAAATCATGTGCTTGTGCTCGAAGACCAAAGAGCCATTGAAGAGATGGGGAAGTTATCTGGACTATCTTGGAGCTCGGTTCAGCAAATCTTAATGGAAGATTTAGTAATGAGAAGTTTCACTGCAAAATCTGTGCCGCGGGTCCTGGGTTCTGACTAACCAAGAAAAAGAGCATTGAATGGAAACATGCCCTGCTTTGAAAACACAGCTCCAAAGCACTCAGTCTTCTTTTCCAAGGTCATTACTAGTGAC